TAAGTTGGTTATAGTGAAATCTTTGTATTCTATTATTTATTCATTGGAATTAAAACACGCTAATCAACGCACACACAGATGAAGTTCACAGTGTTTTATTGTGATGTATGTTGAAAAGATTACACAGAAGGAATGAATAGATTGGTGTTTTATTGAATTGGTTTTCAAGAAATTTGTTTTCTACAAGAACCTTATAAAAGTGCACTACAAAAACTGTTTGAGAAATAGGAGAATGGTATTAAAGTATCGCCCTTTATCATGATACACCTTCATTCATTCATTTATATCTATAACCTTTTTTGTTTTACACATCACGTTTCAAAAGTTAACTGATTTTCATGATTTCCACTGTTTTAATGTGCTTGAAAAGGAAATGAAAAAACAATCTTATTCTTGAAAGCATTACATACTATCTCTCGCACTACTATGAGGTTTGATGGAAGATCAAGTGATGAAGTATTGAAACTTCATCAGTTGAGGTGATTGGGACATGTGTTACAAAGACCCAACCACCGACAGCCTCATCGAGGTATGTTTTATGGTGTAGGAGTAGGTTGGAAGAAAGCTAGAGGCGGTCAGACCAAAAAACATGTCACAAATCCATGAAGTCAATGTCAAGTGGACTGGGTCATTTCCGTAGGTGTCGACTTCTTGGTTCGATTTCGCGGGATAATGGTAACTGGTTGTGAGAGAACCTAAATGACATGTCTCGAAGCTGTTTGCAATGGCGCAGGTGCATTAATTCTTTGTGTTCTCTCAAATCCTATACTCATAGTTCTTCATCACTTTGATCTTTTTCCATTTTTTAGTTTATTTCACTGTATTATACTTCTTAAGTAATATATCTTCGAAACCTTATCTTCTCCATTACCGGTAATAATCCAACTGTCTCTGTCACTATGGGGTGTGAACTGACAATTGCGTCTTTGTGCTAAGGTGGTATGGTAACCTGATTTTATGTACGTATGTATGGAGATGACATAACGAACTTATTTTGTAAATAGTTTTTGATACTATTTGTATTTAACCTGTTAATTTTCACAGCTTGTACATTCACTATGAAATTGTTGTACATTTTGTTTAAGTGTGTGTCCTTGAATATATATCAGGAGCACATACTGCTCCAATTTCCCGTTCATTGTACACATAGCACGGCACTCACTGCCGCATCCTATCAAATACACTTTATACGCATATCTTATGTTCTTAATCGTTCATTAGAACACTATCTGTAGTCTAATACATATATTATCTACTTTATAGAGTGCAGTCATATATATATAAGCTACTCTACGGACAATTACACCAGTTGGATCGCTAACATTTCTATAATTGTGGATTTCTATTACCAATCACAATCAAACACGCACAAGCAGTCGTATAAAGTAACGTCCTTATATTTTTATTGTATTTATCATATTTAACTGATATATTTCAATATACATTTATTGGTATTCAATAACTTTGTTAATATTTTGAAATAATATATTGATTGGTCCACCACATATGTATCAAGTTCTATGTTGTAACTAAATGGGTTGACAAATGATATCAACGAAAACTATGCTGAACAAAATTTGTATTTGTAAATTAGGGAAAAAGGAGGTAAAGCAATGTCTGTTGTCTTAAATGTGTGATAGTAAACTTAGCCGAAAATTTTGAAAACAAACTTTGATGTATGGTTAGTAGTAGTCTCTAATTTCATTTATCAAGTCTGAAAATGATATTGAAAAATAGACTGTTAGTTGAATTCAGTCGAAATCAAATCAAATGTGTAAGACAGTCGTTGCTAATGTAGAGTAATGAATACATAATTATGTGTGTTTGATCCTCGTTCTCAAGATTAGCCAGCAGCGGCACCTGAAATAGTGATAGGGAGTAAAGTAGTCGAGCGTGTCGACCGCTTCACTTATCTAGGTAGTCTCGTCAGTGCTGATGGCCTGGTGTGTAACGCAATCTCAGTACGGATACAAGAGGCTTGATTAACTTTGGTCAACTTGCGTCACTTATGGTGTGACAAGATCTCCGTTCGCTAACCAAAGAAGGAGTTTATTGCTCAGCTATTCGTTCCGTCCTACAATATGAATGTGAAACATGGTCGGTAAGAGTTGGTGATATTCGTAGGTTATTAGCATTAGACTATGGATACCTTCGAAGCATTACTCGTGTATCCTGGGACAACCGAGATAGCAATGCTGTTGTTAGGAAACGAGTACGAGGTAGGGATAGCAGATCGATAGATGAAGTAGTGAAAAGTCATCAGTTGAGATGTTTGGGACATATGTTACAAATACCCAACCACTGACTACCTCGTCGAGTTATAATTTGTGGTGTAAGAGTAGGTTGGAAGAAATTTAGGGGCGATCAGACCAAAACATGTCAAAAATCCATGACGTCAATGATAATTAGACTGAATTATATTGGTAGATATAGAAAACCTGGTTAAGGTTTGCGAGACGATAGTAACCGGTGGTTAGAGACCCTAAATGACATATCTCAAAATCGTTTACAATGGCACAGGTGCATCCACTCTTTGTGTTCTCTCAAATTTTATCCTTCTGAATTCCTCATAATCTCTATCTTTCGAACTCTAATCTTCTCCATTATTGCTAATACTTCTACATTCTCTACCACTATTGGATTTGAACTGACATTTGCGTCTCTGTGCTATTGCGACATGGCAACCTGAACTGATGTACTCATGTACGAAGTTCTACGTTGTAAGTGATTGACTGACGTTCTCATAGTTCAAATCAGGACAAGGAGAGAGGGAGTGAAAATGCGTAAAATTAAATGAAGTACGATAAATCAAAATGTAGTAATTTCAATGACCAATGATAAATTATGACTTTTATGGAACACACTAGATGAATGTACTGCTTATTAATGAAAATTAGATTTCATAGTCAACGAATTCACGCAATGAAGAAGTGACATTCTTTCTTGAACTCATCCAACTTGTTGAAGAGTTGTAGCCTCTTCAACTGACAATATCATGTTTACCTATGACTCTAAGCTCAACGTAGTAGACATGATTCGCTTGATGATTAATTCAAGCGCATACACGAGTAAAACAGTGATTTAAAAATATATAAAACCTACTAACTACTTGACGGGAAAATAAAATATAAAGAAATCTATCTCAGTTGCAAATAAATAAAACAACTTTTCTGTTGAGGACTTTAGATCCCTAGAACTCACTTCATAGAGGTTCTAATTTTTGGATTTCATGCTTTCGAGCATGATCTGATCAGTTGACACTGAGATGATATTTTGTATCAGAAAAATCCTTGACTGCTGTGGCTCTCTCAAGGATGTTGCCATCATCTGGTGTGTTTATTAACCTTATATTTTCTGGGTGCTTGTAGAGTACACTTTCTATGTCTTGTCAAGACTCCTCCTTCCTCTACTTAGTAGGGCATTGGGACGCTCAGATTAGAGTAGTAGCCTATCGTGTCTCACTGGATCATTTGTCTTCTCTCTCGTTTACCGATCAGGATGAACTCGTAAAATAGCATTCAAGCATATTAATCAACTGACGAGTATAACACTTATTTAAAATTAAAACAAATTAACTTTAGATGTTAAAATAAAACTTTGTACGCAATAATTATGCACCTATTGTATAAATATTCTTACATTCGTAAAAAATTTTTCAGTAATATCTTAATGATGGGAGAAATATGAAACTTACCAAAAAATTAACTTGGTCTATATAGTCAGTATATGAGATATACAATAAAGTGAAAAAGATAAACTGATATTTAAGCGTAGATTTTGAGCGACATTTCTCCACTTGATGAATATGTTGAAACTCAAAACAACTATCCACAAACACGAAAGTCGGAATTTTCACTACGAAAACATTCTGCAGACAGACAGACAGATACAACGCAGAACTTCGTACATAAGTACATCAGTTCAGGTTGCCATGCCCCATCAGCACAGAGACGCGACTGTCGGTTCAAATCCAAGAGTAATAGCCATAACAGAAGTATTAGCAGTAATGGAGAAGATTAGGGAGCGAAGATATGAATCTAGAAGTTTGATTCAATAAGACAAATTTAGAAGGAGAAAGGTAGAGATTATGAGGAATGCAGAAGCTTAGAATTTGATAGAACACAAAGAGTGGATGCACCTGCACCATTGCAAACGATTCTGAGCCATGTCGTTCAAGGTCTCTAACCATCAGTGACTATCGTCTCGCGGACCCCAACCAGGTAGCCTACATCTACCCGTAACAGCACACGAGACCAAATCGGTCAAAATCGAATCCTTCCTACACCCCCTAGTACCTCTCTTATGTCAACAACTAACTCTTCTCACAGTTCTTTAGCACACTGCACAGCTAATGTAAACAATGCGAGTTCACGAAACGTTCCACTGTATCGCGTAGAAACTTAAACAATCACGGAATTCTTCATCCAAAAGATATAGGTATTTATTAATAGATGTCTGTGTAAGATACATTGGATCCCTTTAACCAAACACTATCAGCATCAACCAAGGTAGGATAGAACAAACCAGATTCCAGCTGACGAAGAAATTAAGAAAAGGCGCCGCAGGTGGATAGAATACAAAATGAGGAAAGCACCCAACTACGTCACTAGACAAGCTGTCACTTGGAGCCGTCAAGACCAAAGAACACGTTAGGCCGATAATTGGAGATTGACATGAGAAGAATGAACATCATTTGGGTAGAACTCAAAAAGAAGGCCCAGTAGGGAGTAGTTTCGAGAATGCCTGTCGGTGGCCTATGTCCTATTGTGGATAACAGGTGTAAGGAAGTATGGAAGCGTAAATATCGTCACATTTCCTGTGACGATAGATTAGACATAATTGAATGATTCGAAATTCCAAAAGTCAATGAAATACGAAAAAACGTTGAATATCTAGATGCACAATAAAAATGTTTACGAATAATAAAATACTACTAAAATACTAGAATTAGTAGTACGCATCCTATGAAAATAAGGTTATATGATTATTGATTAACTTACACTAAGTTTAATTGTCTCTACATAAGTAGTCCCATAAGCTTTTCGTGTAAAATCAGCTAAATCAAATTGTACTTGATTCCAACCGGCATCAAGTTTAATTGGCATCATACAAGCAAATGGTTTAACAACCGCTGTTGTTTGACAAGTACTTGCATGAAATCGTCGCTTTAAGTTTTGATCATCAAGAACCTTTTAGAAAAAAAATAATATCACTGGTTGGTATGAATTACTTGAACTTCAAAACTGAAATATTTATTCAAATTTTTTAAAATTATCACTAAAATTGGCATTTTAATTGCAAGACTTTTATTTGTAACATTTGGACAAGTAATCAAAGTAGTACTAAAAAAAAAGGAAAAAAGAAAACATTTGAAAGTAATCATGATATCTTTCAAAATATCGTCACAACCTTATATTTCGACCTAAAATTTCTAATACATATGATTGGATCTCTTCATCAGTGATTCGATCAATTCGACCATTAGAAACCTGAGTTGAAGATAAGTTCGTTAATATTTATTATTAATAGGGACAAGTTACTTGTTGACGCCACTTCTCCAATGGTTTACTTCCAACACTGTAGAACACTGATAGGAATCTGTTTGAATTAACTTCACCAATCATAATTATCGATTAATTCAGTATATATATGTATATATATATATTCTAGGTTGTTATTTGGGGGAGAAATATTCAACAGAAGAGATCTGGAAAACAATTGAAAGACAATACATATAAGCGAACAATATTACTGTTTTCGATTAGATCGTCATCAGGCTTTACTCTAATATACATGAATACTTATCATGATGAAAATGTTAAACCAATCAAGGCAATTTGAGTGATAATCACAATGAAATGAAAAAGGCAAAAGTACAAAAGTGGATAGTAGGAAGATAGGTGAACCGATAGTAGTAGGAAAATTTATAAAATATGATAACTAAAGTAGGTCAAACGTGGATGAATAGACTTCAAATAATCATTAAAAACATCAAAACCATTACGTAATAAGCAAATGTGTAAAAATAAAATAAAATTATATTAAAAATTAAAAAATATAATGTCCATAGTAAGTTACGTCATATCCGGCCACGGAAGACAATCAAGTGTCATATGGTATGAAAAGTGAGTTAATGAAAATGTTAGTCATTACTAAATGAATGGGGCTAAGTGCTAAAACTTTTTAAGTTTCAACTGATTAATTTGTTAGATCATTAAAAGGAGCATTGAATAAAGAAACAATCAACGATTGTTTGCTTGTTTATCATTTTCAGTGAATTCACTGATTAGTTTTACTGTTACCGCTTCTTCAGCCGATTTACATCTTATATAAGCTCTTTACACGAACACCACTGGTCGAGTGAGGGCTTATGACGAACTGTCATGGGAAGTCTCTACATCAAGTGGTGTCCGTCAGGGCTGCCCACTCTATCCATTCTTGTTTAACATCGTCGTAGACATCCTCTTAGAGTTAACATTAAGCTCGTCAGATTTTTCAGGGGTTGACCTTCTACCAGGAAAGTCGCTTACTGATCTAGAATATGCCGATGACATAGTTCTATTCGGTGAAGACTCTGACAACATGCAGAGTCTTCTGACTACCATAAGCAACAATGCGAGCATGTTCGGGATGCGGTTTTCCCCCTCGAAATGCAAAATGTTGCTTCAAGACTGGGTTGCTTCGGCACCTGAACTAGTGATAGGGAGGGAAGTAGTCGAGCGTGTAGATCACTTCACTTATCTGGGGAGTCTCATCAGTGCTGACGGTCTGGTGACTGACGAAATCTCAGCTCGGATACAGAAAGCTCGATTGGCTTTTGCCAATTTACGCCGTTTATGGCGTAGGCGAGATATCCGTTCGCTGACCAAAGGACGAGTGTACTGCGCAGCAGTTCGTTCAGTCCCACGTTATGGCTGCGAAACATGGTCTTGAAGAGATAAAATATTCTTAGTTTGCTGGTTTACTATCATAGGTGTCTCCAAAACAGTGCTCGTGTATTGTAACCAATGCTCTTGTTAAGAAACAGGTGCTAAGTAAGGATGGCAGATCAATAGATGAAGTGGTGAAACTTCATCAGTTAAGTTGGTTGGGACATGTGTTACGTATGGCTAACCACCGACTGCCTCGACGAGCTATGTTTTACAGTGTAGGAGTAGGTTGGAAGAAAGTTAGGGGCGGCCATACCAAAACATGACAAAGATCCATGAAGTCACTGACTAGTGGACTGAGTCATGTTGGTAGACGTAAACTACCTGGTTGGGGTCCACGGAACGGAAGTCACCAATGGTTAGAGACCAAGAACGACATGGCTCAAAATCGCTTAAAATGTTAAACAAGAATGGAGAGAGTGGACATCCCTGACGGACACCACTTGATGTAGAGACTTCTCATGACAGTTCTCCATAGGCTCTTAGTCGACCAGTGGTGTTCGAGTAGAGTGCTTGTATCAGGTAAATGTAATTCTTTGGTACATTTTACAATGACAGACACTGTCTCAGAACCTCACGATCCACTGAGTCAAATGCCGCCTTAAGGTCCAGGAAGATAACTATTGTCGGGCGTCTAAATGTGTATCTGTGTTCCAGGACCTGTCGTTGTGTGAAGATGTGGTCTATGCAGCCATGTCCATGTCGAAAACCAGACTAGTTTTCTCGAGTCTGCTCTTCACGAGCTCTAGTTAGGTGTATAAGTATCATAAAGGCTTACAATTTAGAAACTATATTAGTTAGACTAATTCCCCTGTAATTTTCACAAGAGGACGTTTTTCCTTTCTTGTAGATTTCGACAATTAGCTTTTGAGACCAGTCAGATAAGTTTATGTCCAGTTCCCAGATTCTACCTAAGGTCTCGGTCAGTCTAACTGTTGAAACTGGACCACCATGTTTAAAAATCACAGAGGTAAGCTTATCAGGACCCGCTCCTCTCCCTCCCTTCAGATTTCCTATAGCTTTCTCAACTTCATGTAGACTGGGAGGACTTAAATCGATTTGCCATTCAGGATGACTGGGGATCGTGGGTAACCAAAGTGTTGCTAAAGGTCAGTTGAACTGATCCCTAAAGTGTTCTGCCCATCGATCCAGTCTCCTGCATTGAGAATAAATAATAGTCCCATCATTTTCCGAGATAGTCTCACTTACACTAGGATTCCTAATACCAGTTTCCTTGATAAGTCGGAAAAGTTGTCTAGTGTTGCCTATCGCCGCTGCCTTTTCCGTTGCTTTTGCTTTCGCTACCCACCACTGTTCGCGGTCGTTACGTAGGCTTTTTTCAGTCTGCGCCTAAGCTGACTTCGCTCTTCATCATGTTCAGAGTCAGGTGGGATGCGTTTTCGTGCATCCATCAGTTCGGTGGATGCAACTGAAATCCACTGCTTCATCCTATGCTTATGGTGTACCTTGCCAGCAGATATCATTGCCATTTTCACAGCTTTTTTGATATCATTCCAACCTGCCTCCAGATGGGAATCACTTGTATGGTCGCCTAACTTTTTTTCTAGTTCCTTCTGAAATATTTTCTTAGCTTGATTATCATAAATAATATCGATTCAGTCAGTCAGTCAGTTGCAACGTAGAACTTCGTACGTATGTACATAAGTTCATGTTGCCATACCACATTATTAGCACAGAGACGCAAATGTCAAATCAAATCCCATAGTGATAAAGATGGTAGAGGTATTAATGTTATAATAAAGAAGACTAGGGTTTAAGATATTATTCAAAAAATATAATTCAGTGAGATAAGGTTAGAAAGACAAAGGTAGAGGTGCTGGCTAATCCAGAAGATTAGGATTTGAGAGAGCTCAAAGAGTGGATGCACCTGCGCCATTGCAAACGATTCTGAGCCATGTCGTTCAAGGTCTCTAACCATTGATGACTTTCGTCTCGCGGACCCCAACCAGGTAGTCTACATCTACCAACATGACTCAGTCCACTTGTCAGTGACTTCATGGATTTCTGCCATGTTTTGGTCTGGCCGCCCCTAGCTTTCTTCCAACCTACTCCTACACCACAAAACATAGCTCGTCGAGGCAGTCGGTGGTTAGGCATACGTAACACATGTCCCAACCACCTCAACTGATGAAGTTTCACCACTTCATCTATTGATCTGCCATCCTTACCTAGTACTCATTTCCTAACGACAGCATTGCTTACTCGGCTGTCCCACGATATACGAGCAATGCTTCTTAAACATCTATGATCGAATACTAGTAACCTACCAACATCTTCTACTCTTAACGGCCATGTTTCACAGCCATATAAGAGAATGGAACGAACTGCTGCGCAGTACACCCGCCCTTTGGTTAGCGAACGGATATCACGCCTACGCCATAAGTGACGCAGCTTGGCAAAAGCCAATCGAGCTTTCTGTATCCGAGCTGAGATTTCGTCAGTCACCAGACCGTCAGCACTGATGAGACTCCCCAGATAAGTGAAGTGATCTACACGCTCGACTACTTCCCTCCCTATCACTAGTTCAGGTGCCGAAGCAACCCAGTCTTGAAGCAACATTTTGCATTTCGAGGGGGAAAACCGCATCCCGAACATGCTCGCATTGTTGCTTATGGTAGTCAGAAGACTCTGCACTTTGTCAGCTTCTTCACCGAATAGAACTATGTCATCGGCATATTCTAGATCAGTAAGCGACTTTCCTGGTAAAAGGTCAACCCCTGAAAAATCTGACGAGCTTAATGTTAACTCTAAGAGGATGTCTACGACGATGTTAAACAAGAATGGATAGAGTGGACAGCCCTGACGGACACCACTTGATGTAGAGAATTCAGATGACAGTTCGCCATATGCTCTTAGTCGACCAGTGGTGTTCGAGTAGAGTGCTTGTATCAGGTAAATACAAGCACTCTACTCGAACACCACTGGTCGACTAAGAGCATATGGCGAACTGTCATCTGAATTCTCTACATCAAGTGGTGTCCCTCAGGGCTGTCCCACTCTATCCATTCTTGTTTAACATCGTCGTAGACATCCTCTTAGAGTTAACATTAAGCTCGTCAGATTTTTCAGGGGTTGACCTTTTACCAGGAAAGTCGCTTACTGATCTAGAATATGCCGATGACATAGTTCTATTCGGTGAAGAAGCTGACAAAGTGCAGAGTCTTCTGACTACCATAAGCAACAATGCGAGCATGTTCGTATTGCGGTTTTCCCCCTCGAAATGCAAAATGTTGCTTCAAGACTGGGTTGCTTCGGCACCTGAACTAGTGATAGGGAGGGAAGTAGTCGAGCGTGTAGATCACTTCACTTATCTGGGGAGTCTCATCAGTGCTGACGGTCTGGTGACTGACGAAATCTCAGCTCGGATACAGAAAGCTCGATTGGCTTTTGCCAAGCTGCGTCACTTATGGCGTAGGCGTGATATCCGTTCGCTAACCAAAGGGCGGGTGTACTGCGCAGCAGTTCGTTCCATTCTCTTATATGGCTGTGAACATGGCCGTTAAGAGTAGAAGATGTTGGTAGGTTACTAGTATTCGATCATAGATGTTTAAGAAGCATTGCTCGTATATCGTGGGACAGCCGAGTAAGCAATGCTGTCGTTAGGAAATGAGTACTAGGTAAGGATGGCAGATCAATAGATGAAGTGGTGAAACTTCATCAGTTGAGGTGGTTGGGACATGTATTACGTATGGCTAACCACCGACTGCCTCGACGAGCTATGTTTTGTGGTGTAGGAGTAGGTTGGAAGAAAGCTAGG